TATTGTCGGCGAGACGAGACGAGACGAAATAAGGTCGTGAATAGACTACATAGATTTAAGGGCCTCTTAAAAACTGTTATAATCTCTCAAATGATTCAACAAATGTACCAGAATCTAAGAATCTAGATCAGAACAAAAGAAGTTGGCAGAGGAGGATGGATGATGGTAGGCATTCACATCCGAGATTGGACAGTTTTCGTTATGCCAAGCGTGATTATTTGACGTTCCATTTGTGAACAAGTAAACACAGTGGGGGTGAAGAGTCCCCTTTTGTTTTGCCCTCTTAGTTCTTGGTAATCTAGCTGCAGGAGAAAAGAGAGCCCGTTGTTGTTGTGCATTATATCGCTAGTTCCAATGAGCCCTCAAGTTTCTTGGTAAAGACAACAAAGGTTTGTGGTTGTGGTGCTTTACTTCTTCACTCCTGCATGCGGGCACACACTCGAAATGATCTAAAGCCGGTTGCCGTCTTTAAAAATGAGGAAAACCAAAGCCTCATTACTGCACATCATTCATCTCCCTACGTTTCACACATTTCCGACATTTTCCACTTTCATCTCGACAGTTTTCCCCAAAAATACTCCTTGCTGCGAGCTCCCTAAGGTGCTTGTTTGATGCTCACATGAGTTATGTTTGGTTTTACAAATATCTATGTACCCACCAAGACAAGTTCCACTTACTAAATTTAAATCTATGAGTTGGTCCCATTACATAGTTGTAAGTTTGTTTAACTTATACATACGTAGTGTAGTCCCTTCGTGCCTTGTCTCGTTTTCAGGATGCACAAATTTTTGTTTTGTTTGGGAGAAACATGTACAAAAACAATTAGCAAATGTCAAATATCAGCATGTGGAACAGACAAGACTAAATATTTTGTGTGTGCCGTGTGGCATCCCGCAATACGAAGATGTTCATAAAACTGTTTCCGCATTTGACTGCAAAGAAAGTGGCAGGTATTCGGATTAAATGTATATTTTATTCCAGGCGAGGCTTTCCAATCATAATAATACTAACCTTGAAGTTTTAAATTGGAAACTGTGTTGGTCTGCTTTATTTCGCCAAATTTTGGAAATGTTTTGGCTAGCATCGTATAAAGGATCATTAAAGGTGCGATGCACTTTTGTTTCCTTTATAGCCCTGCCGTTGTATAATATTACAACTATGTGTATGGATCCAGCTTCGCATGCCAGAGAAATTCGCACAAGCAAGCTGAAGTGGAGCACAAGAAATAAAATGTTATGAGAGAAAGTTGTGACACGGCAGCTTTCTATCTGGTTTTGGATTTGGCGACAAGAAGAAGACTTGGTTCATCCCAGCAGAAGGGAATTGCACAACAAAGGAGGAGACAAAGCAGGGCAAGAGTGACTTCACTTTGGGATGAAATTTCATCCGTCGTTGGTTGTCGTTATGTCGTTGTCATCAACCTTTTACAACGCCATGCTCAATATCATAACTTTTTATACAATTTTCTTACCCTCCCACCATTGCACGTTATGTTTTTTTTGCAAAATTTGGATCAGTAATGCTCTCATATACTGAGTAGATGATGGTGCTCCTCCTAGTTGGCAAAGTTTTCTTCCATAAAGAATTTCTTGTGGAATATTGGATTGTTCCCCCTAAGCAACTTTTTCATTATTAAATTGACCGATTTACTTATGCGTATAGATATGCATGATAAGGAATAAGTATGTGCATGCAAGAGGTGAACAAAGTTATCCTCTCGATTTGGCCATGTATTTGCCAATATGTTAGATCACGGGAGAGTGGGTTCTGGCATAACTTTAGATTACTTTTGATTACAGGAAAAATGAGGGCGTGGGAGTGGGAAGCAAGGAAACTGCAAGTGAAATACTGGTAGTCGTTGCTGTGCAGGTAAAATATGTTTGAATCTGACATGCAGGAGATTAGAGCATCTCACTCACTCAAACCTCTCCCACTCACTCCGGTCTGCCACCCTCGCGACACGAACATCATCCTCAAAATTAATCATAAATACCAGTCAACACATATATCTCTACATATGTATGTAGGAGAAAGCAGATAACCTAATCCATGGAATATGACGCTGCAGCAGAATATTTCGGGCTGGTTCGCATTGTCAGCAGGCGCACACCATTCTCGTTCATGTCTCGTGTGCAAATCTCACTTTTTTTGTTTGTGTTTCCTCCAGAAAAACTTGAAACAAGAGAAGAATGATTGCTTAGCCACCCACAACATCCAAAACGGGCAAGCAGCAACGGGTGCAGAGACAAAATTATTTCAGCGAGAGGCGTTATTTGTGAGTGAAAAGGAAGACGTAGACATATTGGTGGTGGCGAAATGAAACCTCGGAAGAAACCTGAGCAAATTTCTCTTTTTTAAACCACATTGCTTTCACCAACACACCGTACACGTTTCACCATCTTATTACTTCTTTCCCTCTGCCTTTGTAATGTTGACGTCGCTCACTCCTTCTGTGAATGTGGTTGCTGCAGAGCAGAATCCTTTTTCGTGCTATGTGTGACACCCAAAATGTCTGCCAAAGACAACACATGGCAGTTCGTTATTCGTATTCTTTTGTAATACATTTCATTTTGTTTGAGGTCTGCTTAAATTTTCAAATCAGACCCAACCAAAGAAGAAGAAGACGTATGTAGCAACGTGCCATAACGCGGAGGAGTGAAAGCGAGAACGGGAAAAGGAGACGGATGCGTAAGAGGAATATATATGTGGGTAGTTTGTTCATATGGTGGAGAATTGGAATGGGGATGATGTGAGGCAAGTGCACGTTGGGTGGGACAAGGCATAGATTTCCTCGTCTTGGTTTCCCGAGATGAAAACCTTTGAAGTTTTGAAGGAAATAGTGTTGGAATCGTTGACGGGAGAAAAATAGGAGGGATGGAAAACGTAATTATTAACATTGTGAGATCCAATTCCCTGCCACTTACTTGCCCAAACTTGATGTGTGGGAGGCAGATGCTTACGATTTTGATCAAATTTCCTTCTTGTGCAGGTTGCCAGTTAGCAATTTGAGCTACACAATTTTTTTATACTTTTCATAATATTTCAGTATGTACAGAAAAAGAGAGAAAGAGGTCATGCCAATTGTATGTACAATGTGTTTGAAAACAATAATAAGTATATTAAACTGTTAGATGCATACATACTCATAGGAGAAGCATTTTGTTCGCCAAGTCAAGAACTGCAAGTTATAGTTTCGAGTTTTTGATGAGGAATAATAGAGTTGAGACAATATTTATTTAATTTCATTATCTTTTGGCTTTCTCTCTCAGCCTGTTTTGACGCTAGCTTTTTGCTGCGGTTTTATTGCTCTTGGATGACTGAATCTGACTGAATCTGTCATAACCAATGTTAATCTAAAAATGAATGACTCAATCTTTGCCAAAAACGCCAACGAACAAAAAGTTTATTATTTTATTTTATTATTTGTTTGCGTTGTTAGTGTCGTTTTCAGTTCTTGCTTGTATTGAACTCGGAGCAACCCATGTTTCTCCGGCACGTTTTTCCAGTTCCATTATTCCGTTATTTTTTAAGGACACAGAAAAAAACTTCGAATAATTTGACATGTGCACAACATTACGTTGATAAATTCAAAATTACTGGCTTGAGCTAAAAATCTACTTGGGCGTAACGGTGTGAAGTCGGAGGCGTCGCACTGACTAAAATTCGAGATATATGCTTCCTATATAATTTATGCTGGATATTGGCAATTAATTTTGTGCAATTATCACATTCTAAATGACTTTACGCTGCTCAGACAGACCGCAAACGGCAAACGGTTTTAAGTGGTATTTTGCCGTTGTTCATATTCTATGACTTGAGTTATGAACTCGACCTACTGACCATACATTCGCCGCAATCTGCTTCGAAAGTATTTAACAAGCGACGAAATTAAGTCGAACGTCTCCACACCTTTAGGAAAACTGTGGTTTCATTAGTTTTATCTACCTATTTCTCCTAATGGTCGCTGAAGTTAACACTTGGGTACGAATCCATCAAGTTTTATTACCTTCTAAAACACTCAAGGGTCTTTGTGGACCTGAGACGCTACCTACGCTTAAGCGAAGGTGAAGTAAAGTTGGGATCAAAAGTCAGAACGTAGCATGGTCTCTCTCATCTCCCTCGCATAGGACAAATATGGACTTTGGCACAAATAAATAAAAGAAGGTTCCATTCCATCCGTCATGAAGAAAAACAAAAAAAAAACTTTTTTTCCCTCTTGGCCAAGTATTTATGTGTTACAAAAGAAGAGCTTATTCCTCCTGTTTCTCATCTCACAAGCCCTGCCGTTGGTTGCTTTCCTTACTTTTTGCTGTCAACTGAAGCGTGCACTAACAATCGCAATCAGTATCTTCTTATCGGGTCCATTTGTTCTTTGAAAGTATTCTCATTTTTACACACAATAGTCGCTTCATCTGCGTCTCTCAAGTACAAGTATTAATCTGGAATCTAAAATACAGTGCTCCAAGCTACTCTAGCCAGCCAGCCAGCTTAGCCGGCAAGTAAAAGTTGGTACGAGTCGATTTCAGGCCAAAAAGTGATGAGTGATCGGAAGCATCAAACCTCGCAAAGTATGGATAAGTCTCCGAACAAGGGTTGGAGGCGATGGTTGAGTAACAAGAGACGAAAAAAGCAAAATCCAGTCAGTGCGTTACTTTACGGCCAACACAATAATACGGGACGAGGAAAATCCTCCTGTAATCTCCATTCAGATTGGAAAACGTCTTACCAGTGAAAAATGATTATGTTTACTTTTCTACCAAAGTCATGTGTAAAGAACAAAAACTCTTCTCACTCTTTTCATTGCTCAGCCGAACTGTATGCGAGGAAGAGGAAAGGAGGAGATTGAGATTGATTTCACCAACCTCAACCAACGAGCTTCACTTCTAATTTGGCATCATTATTCATATTCATCCGAGAATAACATTGTCAGAGGAGACAAAGCCCTTCCTCACTCGCTCACAAACAAAGCTCACACGTTTGACAAAGGAATTCATTCTTACCTCAACTTTGTTGACTTTAACACCCAACTGATGCAGTCAGTTCTATAGGTCCGACTATCTGAAATTGAGGAATAAGTTTTGTTAGAAATTTTAAGTAGTAATTTTCAAAACTAAATAAATATATACATAAATCATTGCATGTATAAAATGTGTGAGAAATTCACGATGGGATTCCTATGTAGTATGTAAGTATGCATCTAATAAAATGTAAATTGTCCGTGTTACAGGTTTACAAAAAGCACAATAAATCTTCATTCGAGCCATGTGCACCAACCAACACATAGAAAGCAGACGTTATTATTATGTAGTGTTTTCTCACCCTTCTCTCCTTGCAAAGAACTACAAAATATGTATCGCCAGCATTGTGCCCTTTGTGAAGCAAAGCAGCTAAATTGACACATCCGTATTCTACTTCCTTTTCTCAGTTCTCAACTTGGAAGCTCGTTATATCATTCCCCAGCAGAGTAAATTAAATTGGACAAAATCGTAAAAAAGTAGTCCCTTGTTGATTTCCAGGGACGCACGTCGACGGAGCAAAACAAATGAAATATGGTTCGGCTATGAACTCGGAGATCGTGGGAACTAGACTGGAGCCCAATGGCACGAATTTCCAATGCAAAGTGTAACAGAAAGGTAATGATTGAGCACCTCATCTCATTCATTAGTGAAGGACCACAACCAAAGGGCAGGTATAAATAATACTAATAAACAATGCAAAGCCAACCAGAGTGATAATGGTAATAATGCGATCGCTAATGATTTACTTCCCATGCCAAATTCATAACTTACATATCAGTGAATTGGGAATTGTCGGTTCGAGACATGGATTTTAGTAGTAGTATTTATTACGCCTAATATTTCTCGAAATAAAAATGGATCCTAGATATTCGTGCAGCTCCGCATTTCGTGCCATATGAATTTTTAACGAAGTGCGTCGTAATGTTGTCCATATGCCGTCATAATACGTTGAAATTCCATCTGCAATATCAATAACAAGGGAGAGACTCGGCTGGAGGAGGATGAGGACGAAATACTATATGGAATACTATACGGTGTTGATGGTGGATATTTTGTGAAGGGAGGATGATAAGTATCACATGCACACAAGTACGTAAGTGCATGTATGAAGGTATATGTATCCGCATCTGTAGCAGCAGGGGACTGAGCATTTGTGGTTCCGATATTTTATGACTTTTTCAATGAAATACGACCCAGTCAAACCCTCATCCTTTTATCCACCCCCATTGGATTGGATTAGATTCAAAAGCAACTTTAAGATGCTTGGTCTGTTTTCAAAGTGTTTCTCCATGATACTCTTGAGTTTCCATCGATTTCGAGCATTTTCTATAATATGCTATGAGATGCTTGCCACCTACGTAATTGGTGTATGAAAAATTCACTAAGTTTCTCTCTCTTTTTAAAGCGGTTCTAATCGTATTGTTCTCATTGGGTGTGAATAAGTCAGTAACAAGGAAGTTTAGCCCAAATTGCTCATTGCACACTAACACCATCAAACCATCAATTTAATTTACAATACAATACAGCATTGTGGTGAGCCAAGAACTGGCTGGAAACTACCCTGCTGACCTCATTCGATTTTGGTATTTTCACCCAATGACCCGGATCGAATCTCGTGTGGAAAAGGATATTCGCTGTCATGATGAAGGAAGCAGCATGAGTTCCCAATAAAATGAACGCTTGGGTGATGCATCAGATATGTAGCTGATGCCGTCGTCGTGATAAAGAGATACAACACAGGCTTTCACTAAGCCAAACAATGCACAGGGTATCCAGCACGTAATCCGATTTAAGGATATAGGAAGCTGAGTGTGGATCCGATATCGAATATCGATTAAGTAAATAAATGCAAGCAGCTAAAATCCATACATACTTGATATACGTACTTATTTAGGAGATGACTGGAAATGAAATCGAATTTTGAAAATGTGGTAGCAAAGCCCAAAACTATTTACAAAGTAATGAAATTAACCTACTTCATTTCGGATCTCCAATGATTTATAAGGACAGATAAGCGGTTGACATATCTAACGATATTCGCTATGCACTCCATTTGCAGACAAGTAGCATCGTGCATGCATACATACATACGTATAAGTATGTCAGTCTGCAACTGATGCTGTACATTGATCAAATCCTTTCAAAGCTTCTAATATCTAATCGTAAGTATTACGAGGAGCAGAGAAAATATTAAAAAGTTGAAAATCGAAAACTTATAATTATAAAGTGGATAATTTGCCAATCTTCCATATGCTTCAAAGAAAGTAACCTCAATTTTATTAGTAAAAGTTTAAAAGTAAAAGTCTTTTAAGTATCAAAGAGGACGACGACTTACAACAGCTGGTCATCTCGAGTATGGCAGCAAGTTTCAAAGAAAAGAGAAAGCTGGTTAACCCAAAATATGTCGGGTAGCATTAAGCTGAATTTCCAACTTGCGGAAGAAGCGAAGCACACTTTTGGCAAACCAACCTCTTTGATTCTCCACCAAGTAAGTCGGGTAAAGTATCTTTGCGGCCAAAATTCAGACAATCTGTAAAAGGCAGAAAGCCAACCCAAAAAGCCAACCCAACTCCAAAATTCTTAATTAGATTATATGCTTGAGCTTGCACCATGTTTAGTCCTGCGGAATAATCAGGTAGTTGTATGTACATATGTATACTTGCCTTCTTGCTTTGCAATATTACACGACGGCAACGTTCTCAAGATAATCCTGCAACTATAAAATGGGAGACCATCTCCCTCCATCCATCTAGATGTATGTATATACCTATGTACTAGTAAATATATACGCAGTAAATAAAGGCAGAAGGAAGTTCCTCAAAGTTAATTGATCCACGGATAGTACGGAAAAGGGTGGTTTATGAAGAAACTATACCTTAGCCAACTCATGGAAAAAGTTATGCTCATTTTGCAAATGCCCAAATAAGAAATTCGTCCCAACATGATTTCCTGTGGCTAAGCCAGCTTCTTTCAAACAAATGAATGGCCAACCCAACTCATCGTCACTCCCTTTACCACAATATTAGCTGCTTACTTATATATAATTCAACTCCGGAAGGTTCGTTACTCCACCAAGAAGAAGATGTCTTTTCCATTAAATCGGATTAGTTTCAAAAATCCTTCTCTTATCACAATGTTTCCTTGTACAATGCTTGGATATGCAAACAACCAGAAAAAGTTTCAAACTTTCAATCAGAATTCCAAAAGTGTACAAAAACACAGTCATCAGCAGCGGTTTAGAGAGTTCTCTAATCTCATTGCATCTTAAAACCCAGAGCAAATATAGTAGAAATGAAGGAAGAAGCGAAAGGGGAACTTTATCACTAAACTCTCAAACTCCCCGCATTAACCAGTCCTGTCATTTTCAAAGTCAACAAACGTTGAAAAGTTAACGTGATTTGCGTACAGACGATTGTTAATTCATGTATTGACTTCATCAGAGATGAGTGAAGCAATCCCATTTACAAAAAAAGTCTGCTGGAAGAAGGCTTAGCTTAACTCAGTTAGTTGACCACGTACAGATGGTCATTCATAGCTAATGCAATATTAAACTTATGTATGTATATGAAACTTTTGATGCATTGGTATAAGAACATTCATTCACGTACGTTGTGAGTGTTGACGACGCGAAACGAAAAGATTTAGTCAACACGAAATATATCAACGCGACAATAAAAAATAATAATCCCTTCCTAATCCTATTTCGGCCAGTGTACACCGCGTCAAGAAGTAAGACTGTCAAATAATAGCTGACTCTAAATCTTAGGATGTACGTACACGGAGAAAAATTATGTTTGTATTTTATTTGATGACACAATTGTGATAGAATTTTTTATAAATCTTGTGACCTGGTTATGGAATTATGTGACATAATGCTACGCATGTATACATCTGGGAGTGTACATATTTATGTATGAATCCTTCAATATACAAATTCATGTCCAATTAATTTTGTAAATCTGTCAAAACAGAACCGCAGCTTGAAAGTATTTATTATGCATCATAAAATAATTATGGTTCACAATAAGGGTACTCCATAATTTGCATTATAAATTCGCCATGAATTTTTGGTGACAGTTGAGGGCACGAGTGCCAATTTATTACAAAATGATATTGAGCAATGAGCACGTACATATGCGCAAACGTAGGTGAGACAAAACTACTGCACTGGATTTACCGATCGTGTCCTCGTCGTCGCAGTGATTTCCCAGGTGTAATAAACCAGGGTTAGGAACTCTCGTCAAATCTCGCACGTTCAGATTTTCCGCAACTTAATTAACAGAGAAACTTGACGATGATTCTTTGGCTCATGCAGATCTTTATACATGGCAGAGTAAACCCAGATGAACCATTTAGTAGGAACTCTGGTGGCATCAAAATACCGCATTTATAAGTATCTTCTGCAGAGGATAAGTGCTTTATCATCTATCGAACTCAAATAGTTTGCGACGAAATTAGTTAGATATATTAATAATTGTAATAGGACTGCAACATCTCCTGGTACATTTCATTTGATGCAGTGGTACATAGATTGTAAAAAGTGTCAATGTGCAGATGTCTCGTCCTTGTTTTTTATCGCCAATACCTAGAATAGTGTAAAGGAATTCCAGTCCAGAGCTAAGGATTGGTGACATTTCTTTCAAATTCCTAACGTTAAAAAATGACGGCTAAGAGAAAGATGAGTGGCAGGAATCCGCTGATATCTACTGGTTGTCCAAATTAATGCCAAATCAATTTGCTCTGTAGTCACCATATAAGTATTTTACTGGACCATAGCATCATGGTATCATCTTGTTTATCTTGCAGCCCTTTATAAGCTGTTTCAGTCAGTGATGAGCGGAAAGGAGCCAATTATTACATTTTCGTGTCGAGTCTGTCAACTTTGGTAACCAAGCTTCCTCCTTGATTTGTTCTTTTGATGCCACTCGGCTTCGTTGTTCATCATGCATGGATATTACATACATATTATTATATTCCTCCCTTTCTCTTGTATGCATACATTCGTGTCTGTTGCTACTCGTGATAAACACACACACATGGAATTCCTTCCTAATTGCCTTCGAAATACCAAGTTATCAGCATCAAACCAATACAAGGATGGCATAACCCTACGTCTTGGTTCAAAATGCCGCACAATCCAAGTCAATGCAATTTCATGTATGTATTTCTCCCTCACCCACACAACGCAATAACATATTATGCACTGTAGATTAGATGTAAATGCATAAGGAGTTATGTATGCAATGCAAGTTTGTTGTTGTCCTTCCCTGTTTGCACGGAATGCAGGAATAAATTGAAGAAACTCTTCGCATTAGTTTGTTGAAAACTAGATACTTAGAATGCAAATCAGTCACAGACTACAAGACAGCAAGGCTAGACTGACGACTGACTGGAGAGCTTGAAGACTTTTCAATTGCTGCAGTTCTTTGACTGCAAAGATAACTCCGAATGATGGCACATTGGGTCTGCTCATACATAATCAGAATCACACGAAAAACTTCTTGGCCAAGTTAACGAGTTGGGAATTCGATGATGACTCGACGCTTAAGAAATTCCAGTCCTCCCTCCAGAGTTGATAATGATTATATGATCTGCGTAATAATATCATTATCCTATAACTGCTTATCTTGAATCTTAAGTTGGTTACCAAAAAAACTTTGAATAAACTCACGATAATCTACACTCATTTCACGGTTCAGTCGCGATAATCCACACCTCACAAAGGCCACAAAAAATAAAGCACACAAAACGGTTGAAATGAGTAAGGCATATGTAAAATAAAATGAAAATTCACATCCAAATTTATAACTAGCTAGTTTAAAATCTAAAATATTTGACGTCGTGGTAAATGGAACAACCATACTCCCCAAAATTCTGCAGTATCACAACATGCCGCAATTTAGGACAGGAAACATTGGCTAAAATTTCTCCAGCAGTTTTACAAGTTTACACTGGCTAAAGTGCAAGGGTATCAGTTCTTTTGGATGGAATGATGCGAAACTTGTGCTACTTGTGAGGATTGCAGACAAACTCACTTACTCATGAAAATGTTGTGTAGTTTAGATGTACAGGGGAAATACGAGAGAAACGAATGAACTGTGAACTGGGGAGGATGAGAGCTCACTGCACAAGAAGAGGTTGACAACACCCAGAGGATTTCCTAGGTCTAGTTTGTTGTTGTTCCGTTTAGACTTGCGGGACAAAATAGGAAAACAACGCACTTTGATTTACTCTATCCAGCCATTCCTCCTTTGCACATCTTCCGAAACCGAATTCCAACTCCATTTGTATAACACACTCTCCAGCTCCCACATACATGCATACACAGCAGAAAGAAACACACAGGATGATTCCCTTAAGACTGAACTCTGTGGACTAAACTAGGACAGTTTACGGAGCCGGTGAAGGAATCAATAAAAAATAATTCTGTCCTCCATCGTTCTGAAGTTGTCCTTCCTTTGGGCTTTGAGAATTCTCAGACGCAATCAACGAAGATCAATTCATTTGATCTTCTCTCTCTCGCTACCATTTCGCTCAGATCGTTTTTTGCGTATCATTCATTCCTTCCTCTCTTTACGTATTAAGTGTTGTCCTCAATCGGCTATTTCTGATTTGTACTTTTTTTCTACCCGTTCCTGTCCTCTAATATTTTGTCTGAGCAATTGTCTTGTCTTGTGCTGCTGGTTGGATTTGCTGTGGACAGCTAATAAATGCCAAGTTGTTTTACGTGTGCTTCCAACATGGTATAATAGTTATCAACGTCAAGTTCTGTATATGATTTGTCTGCATAACGGATTCCAGCAGGGCACGACAAGACATGGGGGTGGTTACATACTTAATTGATTGTGCACATTTTATATGCACGATTATTCGTGTTTCTTGAAAGAAGGATGATTCTCCATTATGATTTGCAATATAGTTGTCGACTGCATTGTGCATGAACAAAGTTGCTGTATTTTATGTGATCATAAACAAGACAACTACTTCAGACACACACTTTGTAACGAAAACCAAACTGTTTATTGAAACCCACACATTGAGAATACTAGACAAGTGAGTATTAAGCAATTTGTTAAAGGAAATCATCAGTGGAATACTGGATTTTCCTGATGCAGTCTCAACAAACAAGTTGAAAACTTATTTAAATATGTTTATTACCTGCTGTAATAAACATATTTGAACACACACACTGCCACACAGATCCACGGTTTTATAGAGTAAACTACATTTCATATGGATTGAATTTACATTCATGGCCAGAGATTATCCATCAAGACTCTCGCTCACTTCATGCGAATGACCTGCTTGCCTTGAAAGCTATCTCGTCGGTTTTTTGTTCGTTTTTATGTTGTGAATTCAGCCGATCAAACTGTATCCAGCAGCATCAGTTCCAAACCACCAACATCGGTGCTGACTTTTATGGATAGTGCAGTGGTTCATGTATACACAATACATGATGGTGTTGCTTTTGATTTATTCTGCATATTTTTGACTGCTGAATATATGCTGGATGGGTTTGATCAAAGATACGAGTGTATCAGACAAGACAAGTGGATAGATGTGCACTTTATTGTGGCTTCGAGAATCAGAATTGACAAGACAGGAAAATCTCTTTGAAAGTCTGTAAAATGCTGAACCTTGGGAAGGAAAATCCTGAATGACGAATCCGCAAAATCTGTATGCAACTGAGCAAGATATCGCAAATTGGGTTAGAAATAATAAATAAATAAATGGACAGAGGCTTAAAAGTCGAACTGTTTCTACCGCAGATTTTTACAGATTTCTCAAACCGTGTAAGAAATGTTTAAGCCATCAATGTCGACTAGACTCAAATATTACCAAAAGTATTAGACACAAGTTAAAATATCATCATCATGAGTAATAATTTCGAATCATCGAGTGATACGATATAAAACTACATAATACTTCTATACATGCATGCATACGTAGATTTGCGAGAATTTCGCATGGAGAAAGAGACAGCAGCTGGACGAATCCACTACTCACTTTCTCCTCTCATATTAAAACAGTCAAGCTCTGGTTGGATTATATGTGCTCATATTTAAGCTCAGCTCAGCACTCAGCAAGTTGACATTCTAGTCAAAATTGGTTCTGTGAAATCTCAAGTTGGTCTCAAGTTGGTTGTATGTACTTACTTGTTAGTTAGCAGGAGCCGTTTCTCAACTTTTGTTATCTCAGTTAGTTCAACTACCACCCGGATTTTATGGGTACATATGTTCCTTCGATTTGTAAGTGATTACTCAATAATTCATGTCACAATTTCAATAACTTTTACTTTACTGGAATGAAGAACCGTTGTGAACTCAAAGTCCTTTTAAAATGTCAGATTCCCAATCCCGTTGTAACTGCTTGCTTTCTTCTTCCTCTTCCTTGTGCCGATCTCGATGCTGCTGTTCAGCTACAGCTGGGTGGCTACGCTCTCATTGCCAAACTTGTAACATTCAATGTCTTCTCTTTCGGATGAGAAAAGAGTTTTGTCCAACTGCACTTGAACGAATGCAATGCCGGGAGGGTAGCAGGTCGTTTTTTACGGCCAAACTTTGCTTTTTAGCCTCACTTAAGCAACTGCTGAGCTTTTGCCAACTTTGTCTCGTCTGTGCCAACTTTCACCAGAGGAGAAGACGAAGAAGGAGGTAGTGCTGGACTTACGAGAAAACCGATGTATTTCCCTTTTCTTTTTCCTACTCACCCTTGGCGAGAGAGGTGGGACACTTTACACAATTTGCAAAATGTAAATAAACGCTGAAGGTTGGTTGAAGAACCTCGATTTCAAGAAGAACTTTCCCTCAATTGAGATGTGATGATGGCTATGGCTTTGTTACAGACGGTCACAACGAGAGCTAAGGTCCGTAGGAGAGAACACAGTCTTAAATGGTAAAAAAATCTCAAGTTGATCTCAATTTTAAAATTCACTGTCAGCCTCAATTTTTCCCTTTGAAACCAAGATTTAGATTCAGAGGCCCACTTCCTCTCCTCCTGTTTGTCTTTTATACTCCTTTCTTTTATTTCTCGGGCTACCTTTGATGCCCCAAACCTATCAAACAACTCAACCCCTTCGTCACTGTGTATGTGCAGAGAAATGACTTTCACTCTTGAAAATTTCAAACTTGAACTCGAACCGTGTTTACTTTCCTTCAATAAGAAAAGAAAGGTTTCGCTTGTGGTGGAAAAATTCGCTTTGCGCTTGAAAAAGTTGACATGCACGTCTACACTCGAAGCAGGTCCTCTGAGGAATGAACCCAAGCCATGTTGGCAAAGGTATCTGCAAGTCAACCGGAGAAGCTCTCGACCGAAAGCAGAAAAGTGCTTTAGGCAGCAGCAGCAGGCAGAATGAGAGGATGAAAAACTGAGACCGTGTGCGTCTGTCTCCTCCTGAAAGCAAAGTTGGACTGACTTGGGGTCTGTTTTGCTCCGTGGTGAACACAATTCTCGTCTCGGAACAACGTCGTTCAGCAACAACAACGGGAGATTGGGGTTCGAGGATTCTAAACCAACCGACTTTCATACTACAATGATCCAAAACTTTGAATCTACTACTCTCGTGTGTACCGTGTGGTCATATAACGCAACTCAAAACAAGCTCTCTTTGTAATAAGAATAATGCAAATAAGTGTGTATTCATTCTGCTGATTGTCCTGTGGTAGAGAGATACTTATACAGGCTACTACCTTCCATGCACCACATAGTATATTTTATGCATTTTATGTTCATCCAGAAGCTAAATATAAAGTTTGTGGTTTGATGATGGAAACCTCATCATCGAGTCCGCAAATAGCGTTTCAACAACTTATGTAACGGATGAGATGACCCACAGATATATACAGAAAAGCCTCCCCGAATATGTGAAAAAAATGAATTTTTAGGATAGTTATACCCTTATGAAATAGTTACGAAAAAAGCTTAGAGATACCTGAAAAATATTGCATTTTCTAATTTGTGCTGGGAAATTCAGAAGAATAGGCAAGAAAATTAGACACATAATATTCCAGACACATAATTGAATTATCCGCTAAAAGGGGTGTGTTAACTTCAAGTGTTAATTAATTGAAGTAGGCAAGGGTTTGGTAATAAAAATATGCAAAAGTTTTCAAGATCCATGAAATATTTGTGGTTTTATACACATTTGTTTAAAAATATCTCATCATTCCATACATCTTTATCAAGGTTCATTTTCCCTGCACATCATAGTGTTGATTGCATCTGAATCTAAATAAGTATCATAAGTCTCATCTCACATCTACCTTTGTATTCGTAAGAATTCAAGCCTGGCAATTTTTTAGTGTCCTTTTTAAGCTTCTAAAGTACAAGAAAATTAAAGAAGAATGTTCACATTCTGTGTAAAAACGACAATAACTCGTAGATTGGTTTGTCATTGACAGATTGGTTTGACCTTTGCTCTAATACATGCATGAAAACCGTGTCACTCCTCTCCTCTAAAACGTGTCAAGAATAGAAAATGATGTAATACTTACTTCTCTCCAGAATAGCAGCCATATGCAGATTCTAGAATACGTAAAGCAGGAAATATTCGTTCCGTTCCCTATCCCTTTATCCAGCAATTATGTACTACCGAAACACTGCCATACAGATTGCAGGTTGATACGAGGGTAGCTCAACTCTTTGCGAATAAATGCACCATTTCAATGACAGCTGCAATGCAGGGGATTTTAATTTACAGGAACAAAGATCTCTCAGTCTGTCCCGGTTTGAGGACTCCCCTTAAGTAGCACCCGGCCATTATGCGATTAGCCACTCTTTATTGCAATTCAAATGTTTTAAGTATTATTCGTATTCTATTTTCTGACTTTTTGAAACCTCCCGAGTTTTAAGCACGACTTACTATGATTGCTATTAATGGCCAAATGAAAGCGAAATAGACAGAGTTAACCATATATCCAAAAGTTAGCAGATGTATGTAAAAGTCACAGAATAGTATAATAATCAGCTAGGATTGGGTTGTTGGTTCTTCCATTTGATGTGTCCACTTGCGTCAGTCCGATTGAGAATCAGGAATTTTTTTATTCGTTTTCACATTTCGGATCCCAGCATTCCAGATGAACTTCAAAAGCAATGAGGTCAAGCGTGATAACCATAAAATTTATTAATGGAACTTGAACCAATCTGATACCTTTCAAAGTTCATAACTACGCTCAAGGACTTTTTTACCAGTCAAATATTTTGACTTGGATACTTTCAAACGCACCGAGGGAATAAGTGAACTTCAATAGCAATAAAACGAACACATACTGCGTTATATGACTTGGTTGGGGGAATACGTCAAGCCAAGCTCGAGTCATGCCGTGCAATGTCGATGGTGGAGAAATGAAGTCTTCATACACATTTACTTATTGCAGTTTTAAATAAAACAAAATCATGGTTCATTCCAAAACCGAACGTAGAAAAATTAAATGTCAAATGCAATTCTCATGTGCAGCGACATTTATTTCACATTCTTTCCTTCTCGCAAAAAACACTGACGTCAAACACTTTCAATTTTCTCTGCAATGCAATTCCTTATACATAAAACATGTAAAACGTATGTAATGTCTTCTTATACGAGAAACAGCGAAAACATAAATGATCAATGACGTTTCACGAGTTGTTTTCCGACACCTGAATCCACCAAGGTTTGTCTTGTACCTGTTGTTTCTCATTACAAACTAAAGTGCACTTCATTGCCATTTCAGATGTGGTCTTCTTCTACTGGTCAAACAAATGAAAGGTCTTCATTTGTTGGTCAACCTGCTCAACATCATTGAAAAATTGACAAAATCGTGGGATTCTAGAGCAGCTGCTACATACATGTTGAAAATCTTAATTTTAGATTGCAACTAGTACATACTCAAGTGAATCACTAACACACTGTCCTATGTTACAAATATGTCCTTAGCATTCGTATCATCAATACAATGTCAATCGGTGAACGAGAACATGCGTGTGAATTTTGAAATGTGGCAAAGGTGGGACAAGGGTAAATTTCCAATTTCTCACCAAATCGAGGACCCTAATTTGAAACTGGAAAATTGATAATAAAGCATCGATATGAAAATACCACGTACTTACTGGAATATGAGATACGTATCGGATTTTGTTAAGATGAACATTTCCTCCAGACTTCTGCTTCTGATTTCCTTTGCATGCCACGGACGAAAGTTACCATAATTATTCTGCCCTGCTACATCACCGTAAAATGTGGTGAACTAAATGCTTGCTGAACAAATCAGGTATTAGTGCTGGTAGTTCAAACCTGTCAAATATGTAGAATCGATACCCGTACTCACTTTCCAGGTAATTATCAATTTTACATTATGTCTATCAAATCATTACACAATGCACAACTTTACCCAGTCAGATTCCATGGCCTAGAAATTCTAGGCTAGAATGTTTGGTCAAGAATTCTTTTTGGGCATGTACGTATTTATTTATAGTATGCGTCAAGCAACTGTCAGTTGCAGTAAACAATGTGTACTCTCGAGTATGGAGTACTGTCAAGTGCACTCGCTCGATGTTTGCAAAGCACCATAAAATAACCCATGGAATAATAAGTAATTTATGTTAACCATAATAAAACCCTTGTCTTAATTGTCCTTTAGCCATATACTTATTATTGGAAAAATACAGACTGTCTATTATTCAACCGCATATGTAATGATTGTCTCATTTTCCTTGTCAAATCTAGGATCATTCACCCGACCCCCAAATCACTCACGCACAATGATCAATAGTAAAGGTATTGGTAAAGTATCCTTAAATTTCCATACCAAAACAATCAAAATGTCAACCTAAGTATGTATGCATACGGGAGAATTGCAATTGAACGAGAAAAAGTGTTATTGTCACTCAATCAGTGTCAGACAAGGGGTGAATAATGAGATGATTTATGAAATGAACCTAAAATGTGTTCAATAGCGACACTGCTGGACATCTTCGGACGGTTTTCCTATTCTGATCTTTGGTTTTAGAACTCAATGAATTCAGGTATATCTGTAAATGTAGTGGTTGAAATATTCCCCTGCCGTACAAAAAGGCTACAATGGAGTCAAATCGTTAACAAGAACAGGGATAGTAAAAGTTTAAGTGCAAGGTAATTGTAGTGTAATTAAACAGCTCATAAACACCTTTCTTTGCATTTATGGCTTTGTTGCACTTTTTATGAAGAGTGTCAGGAACCAACTTTGTGGGAATCAGTAAGTACATATATGACCAATGCAATCAATTTTTAAACAAATGGATTACCATTCAATTGGAATTGGGAATAAAAATTTATGGAAATGAGCATTTCCGTCTCATCTTATTTTTCTCTTTAACGAACCCCATAATTTAGCACTTATTATTAACATGAGCTTGAGCTACCCAGCTGTCAGGTTATTCCACACTTTTTAAAACCTCATTGGACCAAGGAACATGTTGAATGGGGATATAGTTAGGTTAACATACAGTGTAATCTGGTCAATTAAGTCAGTTTTAATGATAATCCATTTTCGTGACAAGCCCACAGTTCTACCTATTCTACCCCCCGTTTCTTCAGAGCTAATAACTATAAGGCAAGTCGTCGTCCCTCTCTCTCTCTCTCTGGGGATACTTCTATGGATCCCTTGATGATTAGCAACTCTCCTCCCGTCGCGTTTTCTCTCATCAACAACAATAATTCCGAAATCAACAAGGCGAGCGAACAAAACAGAGTTTTATCGGATCAGCGTGAGCTCAAAACACTGTTCAAATGTTAACGATGTGGATTCAAAATTGTTTCTAGCTTCTTAACCTTTTTATCACTTCACAGCCTTGCCACGCCGAAGCAGAATTCTAATATTGCTTATTATGACGTGGCTGTTGTATCATCGTGTTCTTCACATAAGACTTACATCATACTTCAAATATAGTTGTTTTCTTTTACAACACGACATGCAAAGAAACTTGTGTTCTACATCTTTAGCATAATTTGAAGACCTTTCCTTCTTTGTGCAGGATTTAAGAAACGGATAGACACTCTCACCTAGTGGCATGAATGAAATGAATTGAGTTGGGTCAAGTTGCTTCTTTCTTGGGATTGTTCGGCTTGGATATATTTGCTCAAACTAAATTGCATAACTGTCAATCTGCAAGAAAAGTTTTTAGATACAATGCATGTTACTTATTTACACGATCCATAATTCCAACTTTTCCCAATGTATGTATCTCCCTCAACAGTTTCGAGACTGCATAATGCTAACATTCAGGTCCGTTTCAACGTCCCATATATTAAAACTGCATCATATTAAATACATACATACGTACTTTGCATCAATATATTTTGTAATTTTCAAATCCTTCTGCACTTTAGTATTAGCTAAATTGAAGGACTTGGATTATACATCGTGAAACTTTGACCTTGTCCACGGAAATTTAATCAAAAAGTA